TAAAACACTTCCTTCAATCCCAGCTCCCCTTATTTGCTTTATAGGCCCCTCACCGTTAACATGTGTTGAAATAAAGTTTTTACATCATCTTGAGAGAGGGTGATGTGTGAGGGGAGAGGATTGGGAAACCAGGTAGTGTTCTAGTTCTTCCTGAGTCAACTGGAGAATAAGACAGAGAACCAGGGACCAGCAGGTGGTGTGGTGGTTAAGGTGCTAGATATTCCCACATGGCCAACCATTGGTTCAAGTCCCGGACATGGTGGCTTGCTCTCTCACTTCTCCCTCCCTTCCCCTATGTCTCTCTCTGGTCAAATTAAAATAAAATAAATCTTAAAAAAAAAAGACAAAGAACCATAAATGGAGCATTTCATATATGGGCCTTGGATTCTATGGCTTGGCCTGATGGTGGTCCAGCTCTCTAGTAGTGCAGGCTGCCATTTGTTGTTTTTTAAGCCACGATGACTTGGGCTTAGAATAACGTTTGTACTCTGCTTTTCAGTACAGTATTAAATTATGTGAGCTTTGTAACATTTTATTATAAGATAGGACTTGTGTATGACAGTTTTACCTAAAAGGCTAATATAAATGTTCTAGGCACATTTAGGTAGGCTAAGAAGCTGCAATACTGGTAGTTTAGGTGTGGTAAATTCTTTTCTTTTTTTAGGTCTTTGCCATAGGGCACATGCACTCACTGGAGAAAGATAGAAACTGAGAAATCACCCCCCAGGGGGTAGGTCACATGCCATTCCTTCTCCTCCATCCTTCTCCTGGGATTTGGGCATGATTTTTAAACTGCCAGGTCTGGGTTCCAGATTCAAACTGTGGTCAGTCACATAAGAATTCAGTATCTTAACCACCACTCCACCTACTGGCCCCTGTAAATGTATTTTTTTAAGATTATTTATTTATTCAGAGAGAGAGGTACCCAACAGGGTCTTCCATGTCTTAGTGCACTCCAGGCTCAGTTAGCCAGGACCACAGGGATGCAGGCACCCTATGTATAAAGGAAGGCCTTGGGAACCTGGGACCTTCCCGAGTAGTTTCTGCGTTGCAGAGCACTGCATTACCATGGATGGTCAAAATGCATTTTTAAAATTCTGATATTTTCACCTTGAGGTGGGTTTATCAAGGCCTAAACCCATCATTAAGTAGGGGATTATCTTTAAACTCATTTAATTCTTCAAGTCCCTGAGGTAGATGATACTGGTTGAATATTTTTAGTCTGAAAATTTGAAATCTGAAATGCTCCACAATCCAAAACTTTCTGAGTGCTGACACGGTATCACAAGTGGAAAATTTCACACTTGCCTTTGTAAAGGGTCACAGTCAAAACACTACAAAAAATGTACAAAATTACCTTCAGTCTATATGTATAAGGAATATTTGAAACATAAATGAGTTTCATATTAGGACTTGGGTCACATCCCCAAGAAATTCACTGTGTGTGTGGAGATATTCCAAAATCTATAAAATCCTGAAATCTCAAACTTTTGTGGACCCAGGCATTTCAAGTAAGGGATACTCAGTCTGTATTTCCCTATTTTATAGAGTTGGATACTTTTAGGCTTGGGAGGCCAGGTCATGTGTCTAGAGTACTTCATCTCTGTACTTATTTTCTTTTTAACTGATTTAAACTTTGTATGTGACTCTTAGGAAAAATCAACCTGTGTAGACTACCATGGCATTATTTGTTTGAGGATGGAGTCAGTGAAGAACATAAAAGCATGTGAAAGCTCATTTAGGATATTCATGTAATAAAATACATAAATTGCAGAACAGGATTAGTCATGAGTTGCTAATTACTGAAGCTCAATGGAAATACTTTATTCCATAAACTTTTACATGTTTAAAATGTTCATACTACAAAATTTATTTAAAAGCCCCTGCATGTACGTTTATGCTTTTGGTCAATTTCTTGTACTGGCTTTCTTCATAGCAAATTTTGTCAATGCTTTGTTACCCCACCATCAAGCTCAAATTCTACTTAACCATGAAGTATTTTCTGACCATCCCATCTAAACGTGTGTGTGTGTGTGTGTGTGTGTGTGTGTGTGTGTGTGTTTTGAGAGGTTTTTGCTACAGGGCACATGTGCTCTTGCCAGACAGAAAGACAGAGAAAGACAGAAAGTAAGAAATCACCCCCTGGGGGATGGCCACACCACAATCCCTTCTCCTCCATTCTCCTCT